GAACATTAAGACCCGGTGGACTGGCGGCCATTTTGGATCTGACCTCTCACGGTCCTCAGAGGTCAAATCTGACTTCCCTCCACATCTGAAAGTAAACATCATGGTATATACTAACTATGCTAGAAATTTCATGCTTTTCTCATAAAATGCACAATTGTTATAATATGAGAGCTTATCAACTGTACTACTCAGCCTTCTCACCTGTAAATCTCTTCTCATGAGCCTGTCGCAGTGTCTTACCTAAAATCTTAACAGTAGATGGGCGATTCAGTAGCTTTGGTCATGGGGAACCAATAACCCAGCCACAGTGTCCTCTCCTCCAGCCGCGTTTGGCCTAACACTCGATAAACGATTGGAGAAAATATTTAACAATAACAAAACGAAAAACGCGACGTGTGACGATATCTCGAGCCCCTAGTTGTTGCAGCGGGGTGGCGTACGACACTATAGTCCCTGTGTTCGTTTTACTGCAGGGTTACAATAAGGCGGTCGACTGGTGGGCACTGGGTATTCTCGTCTATGAAATGGCTGCCGGATATCCGCCTTTCTTCGCCGACCAGCCGATTCAAATCTACGAGAAAATCGTCTCAGGAAGGGTGAGTACACGCGCGCGGGGGGCACCGGGGGCGTTGTACGGAAGAAGTTATGTCGAATGTGATAAGTCGAATGTAATATTAAATAATGATTCGTACGTAATGATAGTGTAACGTGTGACCTTGCATTGATCGTGCACGTGCGTTGCAGATGCGCTTTCTGCCATTGTTTGGCATTTCTGGTACGTGTTCTGCATCATTCGTACACGTTCGTTTGTCGGTTCATTCGTTGCAGGGGTAGTTCCTGTCGTTATTTAACACTCTTCGTACGTACGTTCTCTGCGTTGTTCTTTATGTACGTCACTCGTTCGTTGCAGGTTCGCTATCCGGCGATGTTCACGGCAGACCTGAAGGATCTTCTGCGCTCGCTGCTGCAGGTCGATCTCACCAAGCGGTTCGGGAACCTCAAGAACGGCGTGAACGACATCAAGAACCACAAGTGGTTCGCGACGGCCGACTGGATCGCCATCTACCAGAAGCGGGTGAGCTACCAGACATGCTCGCCACACCCTGCTCCTCCCCCGCCACACCCTCCTCCTCCCCCGCCACACTTTGCCCTCCTCCCCTACCACACCCTCCTCCTCCCCCGCCACACTTTGCCCTCCTCCCCTACCACACCCTCCTCCTCCCCCGCCACACTTTGCCCTCCTCCCCTACCACACCCTCCTCCTCCCCCGCCACACTTTGCCCCCCACACTTA